AGAATGGCAGGCGGCAAGACAGTGGTGAACTTCGCTTCGATGAAGTGCTTATCACCCGGGTGCTAAACCCAGTGTGTGTGGACTATCTGCGCCGTAATCGAGTGCATCGTGGTGTTTCCAGTCCCAGATGGTCTTCAGGGTCATGATTGGTTGAATCAAGGCAGAAAATTGCCCGAAACGGACTGTATCAGTGCGCCCGAATTTTCTGTCGTCCATCCTCTCTGCAATCATAACTTGGCCGACTTCGGCCTGGTAGTTGGTTGTCTGTTCCTAACTTCCTCCACTCCCCACCCAGAGCTTGTTTGTTTCAGACGACTAATGGATCAGTATGCGTCCATTGCTGATTAAATGGGTACGCAATGTTTGCTTATGAATTCCAAAACAATGCGAGGAGAATGCGATATAATTTTCCCGACTTCATGTTTTTCGAAATAAGGTGGATTGAAGCCAAAGAACGATTTTGTTCGATTTCGCTTACAGAGACATCAGACGAAAAAATATTCATTTTGTCACGTGTTCAGAGGACGGTCAGTGACCAAGGGATACTTTCTTCAGTAAAAATAACTGTTCGGTTTTGCCGACGGTGGACTACGTCTTGCTACAGAATGCCCTTGAAATGGCAGTAAATATGTTGCGGTTTACAGTGTTCTCAATCACCTGTCCGGAATGCCAGCTCCCGTAGTTTTTGTATAAGAAAAAAACAAGCGCTGATACTCAAACGTGATCCAGGACAGTTACTGTCAGGGCAAATCGTCTGAACATCAGGTAACGTTGAGTTCCACCGTCCTTTAGTAAAATTAGTTAGAAAAATATTTTGCGCGTGCGAAGAGGAAGAAAAAGTTATGATGATGATGACGACCGCTGTGGTTGATGTGATGCTGATTTGTCATCCCGCGTCCCAGCCGTTACTTGCTACGCCTCCATCCTCTGTGTTGGATGATAGTGTGGTCATAACTCAGCAATTTAGCTCGCTGTCCCTGAAATTATTGGTCACCCGCGGCCTCCCCTGCGCAGAGGCTTGTGATGCTTATGTTGGTTATTTGTGTGATAAGGACTCGGTAACTTGACTCGACAGCAATGGGGACAGTTCTACCGTCGCTGTCGACAATATCCACCACCAGCTTCAGCGGACTGAAGCAACGCGGTGACTCCCGCGGAATTACATTGAAAGTAGACTTGCGGAGAATTTACCCCACTCTCTGACCACACCCACGCCTGAACCCGATGCTAAGACAAAAGTCGAGAAGACCGGAGATGTGGGAGGACGCAGGCGGTGTGCGCGAACACACTCTAATAGGCGCCACATAAATACCATCTTGCTACTTAGGCTCTTGCGTGCGCAGGAGCGCCATAAAGGCCACACTAAAAAGGGGCCATTGCAGCCTGACCATCAGTCTGCAGTAAGCCACTCCAAAAAACAAGACACACTGGGCCGACTGCGGTGTCCGAGTTATCCTGTCAGTTGACAATCCTCCAAGCCACGGCTTTTAGCGCACCGTGATAGCCTCAAGGGCATCAGATTATTGATAGTGACGAAAGAAATGCCAAAAACAGACCACTGTCTAGTTGAGCAGTCGCCTGAGGTGTGATGGGCGCATTGGCTGACAGTGCCGGTTAGCCCGTCTGCACGTGCCACAGCACGACCTGGCCTCCTTTATACACACCAGGGTTCATATAGCCAGAGAACTAGAAGAAGCCGGCGCCCCCTGACTTCCAGTGTTACTCACAACACACACCTGGCTGATGGTGTGTCCGGTAAATTCGTCAGCAGGCAGTGATAAAAAGGAAAACCAGCCGAAGGTGAGCATTTTAGAGCAGGTTATGCAATGGAAGAGGAAGACAGCAGTGTTATTGGAAATAGGGCTCGCCCAGGCAAAGTCTCAGCAAAGAATATGGCGGCAGACGCTCAGTGCGCTTGTTAATCGATTGTAACCAAGCGACGGTCATACCAAGTTTAGACATCTTAATTGCATTCTCGAGCCGTTAATTGCGCTAGGTATGTAGAAACATAGAAACTGCATCCTATAAGCACTTGTGCAAATAGTACGTGTTAATGTTGCAGCCACGATGGCTATAGCCGGCCTTGGTTATATCCTGGCTGTTACTCCTCCACGCGTGACGATCTGTGGCAACGGACCATTCTCTTTGCCAACGCCGTAGGCCGAATACCGAAGCTCCAAGAACAAATTCCTTGTCCTCACGAATTT